ACTCTTGTTCACCACTGTTTCTGCTCACAAGTCAGTTTATAATCTCACTAGGTTCCACTGTAAATAATGAATCATTTGCTTCCAAATTTCCCCTTGGTTGTTGATCTACAGAATTTTAAATATGAGGTGTCTATGGATATCTTTTTAAAAATTTAAATATTTATTTGTGTGTACAAGAGCTGGGGAGTAGGCCAGAGGTGCGGGGGTGATAGGTGTGTGAGAAGGGATTCACCAGAGACAGAGTGGGAAGGACAGGCAGACTGACTGAAATACTCTGCTGAGGGGCACAATGGGCGAGACAGGAAAAGCCTGCCACATCATGTGGGTCAGCTCCCTGGCCGGGGATTAAACTCATGCTGCAGGGGCTGCAGATAGCTTCCTAGTGCTGAGACTTCACCCCTTGCTCCACCAAGGAGGCCCTGCCTGTGGATGTCTTTATGTTTATCCTAGTTAGAACATGTAAGTCATGTGTCATTTAACAATGGGATACAGTCTTGAGAAATGCACTGTAAGGCGATTTTGTCATTGCATCAACATCATTAAGTATAATCAAAGCTAGATATTATAGCCTACTGCTACTACCCCAAGGCCGTGTGGTGTAGCCTATTGGAACAACTGTTGTTCTGTGATACATTATCAACTGAAATTATTTTTTTTAAAGTACCCCAGTACTTGATGTGACAAGTACTGGGGTACTGGCCATAGACATCCGGGGGTGAGAAGATTTACCAGACAGAGTGGGGAGGAGAACAGGCAGATCAAGTGAAATACACTGCTGAGGAGAGCAGTAGGCGAGACAGGAGAGTTCTGCTGTGCCATGTGGGTCAGCTCCCTGGCTGGGGATTGAACTTGTATTGTAGTGGCTGCAGACAGCTTTATAGTGCTACACTTTAACCCCTTGTGCCACCAAGGAGGCCCTACTGACTGAAATGCTAAGTGAGGCATGATGGTGTGTGTGTGCGTGTGTGTGTGTGTGTGTGTGTGTAATGGAGTATTATTTAACTATGAGAAAGCAGGAAATCTTTCTATTTGCAACAATTTGTATGAAATCTGAGGGCTCAGTGAAGTCAGTCAGATAAAGATAAATACTTTATGATATTATTTATATGAGGAATCTGAAAAAGCTAAGCTCAGAGAAAGCAAAGTGGCTGTTACAAGGTGACAGAGGTTAGGGAGTATGGGAAGTGGGGACATTATTATCCACAGGACACAAACTTCAGTGGTAAGATTAACATATTCCTGGGACCTAATGTACAGATGCTGGTTACAGCTAATATTACTCTTTATACATTTGGATGATGGTGAAGGAAAAGACCTTAAATGTTCTCACCATAATAATAAAAAAGTAATTACATGATGGAGTGGAGGTACTAGCTAATCTGTGGTCACAATCATTTTGTAATATATAAATGTATCAAATCAACACACTGTATACCCATAATATCATACAGTGTTATATAGTATTGATTGAATCTACCTCAATACAACTGGGGAAAAACTTCTTTCAGATTTTAGGACTAGAAAGTGTGAGTTTTTACTGCCTCTGGTTTATTTTAATCTTGAAGGAGATTACAAAGTGCGTAACTAATGTCATAATTCTAAAGACTGTGCCTGAGAGCTCACTCCTGACTTTACCTTATTGACCTTTAACTTCATTTTCCCTTGATTTTTAGAATCATGGAGATGGGAATGCAGAAGGAGGAATGGATATCCTCTACCTTCTCTGTAAAGCAATCAGAACCAGTCATTCAATTTAGAGCACTGTGAGACTTAGAACCAAGTATCCGATTACTCATTTTGTCCTTCTGAAACAAACTCCTGCTTAACCTTAAAGCTGAACAAATACAATACCACGAATCTCATTTCTAATTTTGTGTGGTAATAAGTAAAAATATATAATGAAAACTAGAAAAAAGTTATCTCAAAGAGACAAAATACTAACTGTTCTTTCATGTATAACAGATAGCTAAAAGCAAACTTTTTTTGAGCATAAATGTGATTCGGTCCAAATTTACTGAATTACTGGAACTTTGACAAGATTGCAAGTAGAGGTTAAATTCATTATTTGAACAATATATGCTTGGTAAAAAAACAAGAGACAGCAAACAAAAGGAATAGGACCCAAATACTGAAGCCTTAAAGACGTAGCTTGCACATACCCATCCCCTACAAACTGAAAATTGTGAGTAGTCAAACCCAAAGCTACTCAGTCTGTGGTGACTCTCTGACCTGGTCAATGTGTATAAAGTCACAATACATAAAATGTCTCCAAACCAAGACACTCTGACTCAAGAACACTATTGTCCCGACAACTGTATGAGCCACTGCACAGGCTGCAAAGTTAAAGCTTCTTGTTGCGGGGATCATGTTAACAGCACAGCAGTGTAGGAGTGAGAGTCACTGGAGACTTAGAACTGTTTTCTCCCCTCATTGTAAGTCGAGTAGAATCATTTGCAGCCATGAGCACGACCACACACAAGGGTGGTCTTTCCAGCATCTGCACCTGCACATGTCTGCAGCATCCTACCTGGCTGCACCTTTCTGAAACTAAGGAAATGTATGTTCAGTGTGACCTCTGCAGATCGTGCATTTATGTGAAAAGTCGACTGACGGTTCTCTGTCCTAAACACGTGAAGGTCCAACTCCTTAAGTTCTATAAAATAAGTTTGAAAATGTAAAACCCAACAACTTGCATTTATAATAAAGGGAAAAACCAGCTGTCAGAAAAGTTTTAGTTGAAAATTCCCAACAATTTTTTTCTTTTAATTAATTTATTCATGCATTCATGCATACGAGAACTGGGGTACAGGCCAGAGGTGAAGGGGGGTGAGAGGACTCACCAGAGATAGAATGGGGAGCAGAATGGGCAGATCCACTGAAACACAATGCTGAGGGGAGCAGCAGGCGAGACAGGAAAGGTCTGCTGTGCCATGTGGGTCACCATCCTGACCGGGGATCGAACTCCTACTGCATTGGCTGCAGGCAGCTTCATAGTGCTGTGCTTTAACCTGCTGTGCCACCAAGGAGGGCCCAAATTTCCAACAACTTTTATGAAGTTGTCAAATACTTGACTTAATAACCAGTAACAACTACGGAGTAGAGTTAGTTCTACGTGCTAGTGTCAATGCCAGATTCATGGAGACACTACAAGGCTTCCCGCCCAAGAGTTGGCATGAAGACTTGACAAGAGACCAAGGGTACCTCATATAGCAGGAGATGGTGCATGCAATAGTGTTACGTGGGAGGCCTGTACCTGGAATCCCAATTATGTGCTGTGCTTCTGGAAGGTAACATAGAGTGATTAAACATGTGATCTTCATAAACAAAGAAGTTGTTCAGAACTGAAGCTGAACTTCATAAAATATTTTTCTTAGTGTTAGCCAGCCATGTTGTGCATAATATCATTATACTCTGACACTCTGGGTGCAGAGGCTGGCTGGTTACTGACATCAACTGTCAGATACCAAAAGCTATTGAAAGGCCCTGAAGAAACTGCCTTTGGTAGTTAAATAATCGACTAAGTTCATACTAAACATTTTCTATACGCATAATATTGTACCAGGTACTTTAGAAACAGTAATTCATGGTTGCGGTTGTGAAGAAACTTACCATCTAGTTGGAGAAGTAAGAACCACAAATACTGAATACAAAATAACAGCAGGACTCACTAGAATGCACCTGCTCCTTCACAGCTGCTGAGCAAGTGCCAAACACCTGACAAGGTGCTCACTGTGACGTTTCCTGCCCTCAATAGGCACCTAGGATGGGAGGCTGAAAGCCAATATAATTGTTATAATTACTAAAGATCCCCTAACGAGGGACTGGCACATTCTGTCTAGAAGTTTGGGAAAGAATACACAGAAAAGTAATTGGTAAGCGAAGTTAAAAAACCCAGATGCCTAGTTAGGTATTTCCTAGGGAAACAAGGGAAGGCGGTAGGGAAGGGCTACTGTAATAATGACGGGCAGGAGCAAAAGGATGGAAGTTTAACTACTTCAGTAGTTTAACAGTTAAAAAAACCCTGTAAGTAGCTAGGAATGCTTCACAGATAGTATGAAAAGAGAAATGTGTTTAATAATTAGACCAAATGAACGAAGTCCCTGTATGATATGCTAAGGACTATGAATTTTATCTTAATCTTTGTTCTTTTCTCTCTTATTTCAATTAATATTTATTGAGCAAATGCTAAGCACTGTTGACAAGTACTTATTGGATAGGTACTATGTGCCAGGTACTGTTCTTGGCACAGGGTAATGGCACTGAAAAAGAGAAAAGTCCATTGTCCTTTTCTCATGGGGTAGTATGGGGAACACAGTGGCAGTAAAATGCACTGGACATAGAGCTGACTAACACAAATTCAGCAGAAAACATTACTTCCCCTACACAAGACACAAGTAACACAAACACATACACAATAAGCCAACATGCCTATTGGGCGGCGATTCATATTTTGTGTTTATTGGACTTTAAGAACTGAAATCAAATCATTTTTGTATTACCAGAAATCATCTTCCTCAATAGGCTACATTATCCTCTTAGTTCTTCTTTGGAGTGAGGGAGGTGTAAGAAAACTGGCTAGTAGTCTTTAGCAGCTATGGAGAAGCTATAGAAGGTGGCTTAATCCCCTTGCAAATGAGCTAAGACATTGGTTTCCCAGGGTATACTGAAAATGCAATTTCATGTACCTCAAATAATAGTTTCAGTAACTGAAGCACATTCTCAAGCAAGGGGAAATATGATAATATTAACAGTTCGTGTAAGTGAGCAGAATGGTTTTGATGATTGGAGAGACTATCAATGAATACAAAGTTTCATTTACTCAAACTTGCAGAAATTCTCAAAAAAGTCCATACAGGCATATCCTTTTCAAAAAAGTCCATATAATCACATACCCATATGGACTTAAAACTGTCTTTCCTAGGGGAAAAAACACCCTCAGGGTGAGACCAAGAAAAGAAAATTCAAGCTAAGAGTTTTTCAAGTTCAAGTGAGAGCCTTACCTGCTCCTGGGTCATCTTCTGCAGCTCATTCTCCCAAGCTGCCTGGTCATCGTCCACGTCATAGGAAGCTGGAGGAGTGAGCCCACGAAGGATCAGAGGGTCGCGGTCGTGGCAGAGGGCTGTCAGGTGTCCAATATACAACTTTAATTTGCTTCTATTTTGGTCAAGTTCTAAGAGGGGCTGGATGATCTGAGATGAAAAAATGAAAAAAGTGAAGATTGAGCTGCAACAATAAGTTCCAATGTTTTCATGCCTCCCAAGTCAAAAAACAAAAACAGAAACAAAACAACAACAACAACAAACTGACCAAAGACTAAAGCTCTTCCAATTGCTATTTAAATCTTTAGGATTATGAAAAGAAATTGTTCCACACACTTACAGATTTACACTGTCACACCCAACCACCATCCTTAGGAAGAGAGGGAATGTCGGCTTGGGGCATCAACACAAGACTGAGAGTCCGGGGCAGAGGATTAGGCTCAGGACTAACTTGTTTTTACAGAGATGACATTCCTGATACAGAAAGATTCCAGTTACCTCACAATTTCTTTTTCCATTTATTTATGAGTAGATTACAAAGAATTGCTACAGAAGTATGGTCATCTGAATGTCTGGACAACATACACTTCATGTGTTCCTACCTCCTAGAATAGAAGAAAAATTCTGTCTCTGGAGAAGGTGGATGTTTTTCTTGGCCAAGAGATGTGATGAGGAACTCATTTCTAAATCCACCTCATCCTGGCCTAAGCTACTCTCATTCATTACACAGAAGCTATTTGATAATTCTTTTAAAAACAGCAATTGCTACATCCTGAAAAAAAACAATAGACACCAGCCTTACAGCCAAGGACTCTCTGAAACTCTCTTAATTGTAGCATTGGTCTTGTTTTTCTTGACAAACAGACCTGCTTTAATTTTATTTTTCTCTTCCTTTTAGCCTGGATGAGTATCCCTTTGACTCTCAGGAAGCAGACTAAATGCCAGATGACTTATGTCTCAGAATTTCATTCGTCAGCTCTTGTGACACTACTCTGGCCAGGTACATGGTAGCTGGTCAAAGCCTGGTGTGTTTAGAAAGATTTGGGCCAGAGCTCACATCTCAGAACGCTGAAATGTTAGAGCAGCATCTGCTTGACACACAGCAGCTGTGAGAGCTGCAAAACCCTGCCAAAATGCTGGCAAATCTCAAAATGTTCCCAGAGCTTACAGGGCAGAAGTCTGCACCTGTTGCATGTCACTAGGCTGGCAGTTTTCATCAGCGGGACCCCTCTGACCCACGGAATGACTAAGGAGCTCAGTAATCTTCAGGTCACCACAAACAGGGCCTGCTATTGCTTCCAACAGCGACCGACCGTCATTTCTCTCTGGTCTCCCCAGAGGCTCCTGCCTCTTCTTTTATTTCTTTGCAACAATTTAAATGAATTAACATTTTATATTTTTATTATGGAAACAATACATATTTTTTAAAAAAAGATTTCTTTATTTATGCATACAAGAACTGGGCTACAGGCCAGAGGTGGGGGAGGGGTGGCGAGAGGATTCACCAGAGACAAGAGTGGGGAGCAGGACAGGCAGATCCACTGAAACACACTGCTGAGGAGGGCAGTGGGGAGACAGCCGAGGTCTGCTGTGCTGTGTGGGTCAGAGGTCCCTGGCGGGGGATCGAATTCATGATGTGCTACAGTGCCTGCAGATAGCTCCATTGTGCTGTTTTAACCCATTTTGCCACCAGGAAGGGGCAATAATATGTATTTTATAAAGAACAATATGGAGAGAAGAAAAGAAATCATAAAATAGCTCGGAGGTGTTTGAGAAGTAAACACCTGCAACATTTTGATGACTTTCCTCCAGGTCTTTTAAAGCAGTATTATACTTCACCTTCCCCTGATACACATTTGTCCAGTTAACATTATATCATCAGAACTGTGCCTGGAAATTTAGAAATATTTCCTTTGTTTCTAATAATATTTCCATGAAATAATGAAAAGGCAGGTCTTAGTGGCTAAAACAATCTTAGTTTACAAAAAAGATTAGGATTTAGGCCTATCTAGTAAAAAATAGTTTAGGTGGAGGAGCCTGACTAAACGAACCGGAAAAGAGGAATCAATTTAGCATTATTTTCACTTTTTACACACACACACAAACACACAAAACTCTAAAAGTAAAAACACTTTGGTCTTGCTGGGAAGGCTTCTAGGGCTCTGTAAGAGACCCCTACCTGGCAGGATCATGGTACCACTTGGGCTGGCATTTCCTACCTATTATAGGCACATCAATACTGTCAACCAGAGACTGTTTCGAGTTTGGAGATACGGAATGTGGGGGAAATTGGACAGCTTTTGCTACCAATTTCTCAAAAAGAATTGTATTTTATTTCTCACCACAAATGCTTATTCACTATAGAAAATTTAGAGAAAATATTAGAGTGCAATATTTCAATGCACCTACATTTTGTCCTTCAATAAGAAGACCACAGTCATGGTTTCACTACTCCTGCCCCACACCTTCAAGTAATGCAGCCCCATTTCATCTTTTTTTTTTTTTTTAATATATATCTTAGCCTCCTCTATTCTTTTCACAGACACTGGTTAACAAAATCACTGTTGGGATTTCTTTTATTGGGTTGTGCAACTTAACCCCGTTGCCTGTGTGTGTGTGTGGGGGGGGGATGGGGATGGGGGGCTATCACATCTGGGCTTCAGGAATGATTGCTCAGGGGTTACTGTTTGGACTGGAAAAGTAACTCAGAAATAAATGGTCACCGAGAAGGGCCCAATGTAATCAGTGGTAGTAAAGGGAAAGAGAACTTTCTTGTAGTAAAATAGGATTTAGAATTTAATTCATTGCTATGGACTTTTAAGGTTCCAGACTAATTTAAACACATTTCAAGTTGAGGTGTTAAGTGGTTAAAAACTATATATAATGTTTTGTACCCTGCAATTTTTGAAGTCCAAGTGAAAACTTAAATGATAAGTCTTTTTTCTTTGCACTCTATACAATGGCTAAAGATGTCTCTTTTCTCTCCGTGTTAAACAGGCTTTTGTTTTTTAACTATAGCCACTTACTCTGTAGAACTATGTGAAACCGCCCAAATAGGAAAGTGCCCAATCAGATCCATCAGTTAAAAAAAAAATTGACCTTAGTCTCTCTGGGACACATCAGCCATGTCAATCATGAGGGAAATGCTCTTATCTCTTTTCTGCTTCTCTAACTGGGACAGTCACTTAGAAAAGCAACTGTGTTTACCACAAGGTAGAACTGTCACTGCTTTATCTCAAGAGGGAAGAGGGACATTTGCCAAATAGAGGATGTCCTACAGGGTCTGCAAGTTATGTCTTTGGTCTATATGCTACTTCTGTACATTGGCAAGGAGTCTAACAAAAACTACCAGAAATACGGTAAGGTCACATTAGTTCCATAGCTGTGTAGAGCTCCAGTTATATATCTTTTTTTGGCACAGAGAAGATCTTTAAAAATGAACTTGTTGAGTGGGGAATGGGATCAAAAACGGGGGATGGGAAGTGCACGGGACTATGGTGATGGCACATGGGTGACTCGGTGATGGGAAACCCATGGGGATTACAACTGAGATGAAAAAATGTACAAAATGATATAAAAATAAACTTATTTTAAAAAAAGAAAAAAATGAACTTGTCAAGATTACCTTTACTGTATCAAATAGAATGCCCAAAAGGCAAAATTTCCCCAGTTCTATATTTGCCAGTTGTTAAGGAAAAGAATTTAAATTATAAAAAGGTTTAAGAGTTTTTTTTGTTGATTTACTGGGAGCATTATTTCTTTTGGGGAGGATTTATTTGCTTATGTTTAGATGCTTAATTGGTTTCAGAGGTCAGTATTTGATGGTATATGGTGACAAAGGACAGAGATCTTCTGAAGGTATTTTAACCTCCTTTCCACTAAATTAAGGTCGGATAACTGAAGGTCTTTTGGAAGACAGATGAGTTGCTTCTGTAGTGTTTGATACAGACAGTAACTGAAGATGAATGAAGCAATGAAGCAAACTCATTGCCTGAATTGGCTACAAATTCTTTTTTTTCTTTTTCCCACTAAAATTTTCTGAGGCATGTTAAACTGTCCATGTATTAACTGCATAAATGCTAGTATAATTTCTTCATCAGGCTATCCTTATACTGATGTCCCCCAACATAGGAACATGAGAAAGTTCCAGAATAATAGATTAACTTTCCAGAGAGCTTGTTTGCTTAAAGGTATTTTGGTTCAGAGGCCCCAGCTGAGGGCCTCTGAAAAGCCAGTAAAGGAGTTAAGAGAATAATGCATCAATCTGGCTTCAAAGTCTCCCCCCCTTAGAAAAAAACCAAAAACTAAGTTAGCTTCTTGGTCAATAATAAAAGTGAGTATAGTCTCTTCACAAGGGTTGGGAGTTCTGTGATATATTCTCACCTAAATGCAGTTATATTGTGAATGAGATTTCTTTGAAAAAAGTACAGTAAATCCACACAATATTTTTTGCTACATTAGCTAGGCATACTGCATATCAAATCCACAAATATTAAAATTAATAAATTAAATAATTCTCTTAACATTTAGTGAAGCCTATGTGCCATGCTACAGCCAGTTTTAGTTGATGGGAATATTATGAGTAAGATACGGTCCTACTCTACATCAGAAATAAAAACAAGCATGAAAACTCGTTGAATGTATGTAAGAATTAAAATGTGTCAATTTGTGCTTTATCTTTGTTTTAACTTTAATTTTGAAGTTTACTTCAGGCAAACTCTAAATTGAAAAACTTGTTTATATATGTTTTACATCATTGTTCACTTTTGTATAATGTTTGCTCTCTCCTCTCAGAAGCAGTCCCTGTAGAATTCCCACCATCTCTGTGACCATCACTACAGTCCCTTCTACTTGTCCCTCTCCTGTTTTGATCCCTCTCCTTCCCCTCTGGAAGGTCTCGCTGATTTATATCTGCTTGTAAATTCTGGCCTATTAGTTATTGTTATTATTTTTCCCCTGATCCCTTATTTGGTTCCCCTATATTCCTCCTGTAAGTGAAACCATCCAAGGTTTTTTTTTTTCCTTCTAACTTCTTCTAGCTCCATCCATATTGCTGTGAATGGAATGAGCTTTTTCACTGATGAATAATATTCCATTGTGTGTATATATATCATATCTTCTTGATCCAGTCATCTGGGCATTTGGCCTGT